TCACATTGGTCCAGTGCGGTCATAAGAGTCTCATTCTAAGCATATGTTGCTTTTATCGTAGTGTCTGTAGCCCTTTGAGTTCTCGGGCACTGTGCCAGCTCGCTGCAGGTTACGAGAAACTGGAGTGTCCCGAAATAGCCGGATCTCAATCAAAGCGGCAGAATTGATCTGACTGAGGGACACGCTCTCAAAGGCACACATCAAACGGCCCTGGATCTTCAAGCTATTTGCCCATTTAAGGAAGGTACTTCTTAAATCCCGCTACCTCAAACCCTGAACTCCTAGCTTTTTTCATCCATTCCTCCATATATGAAGGAGGTCTGAAAATAAACTCTGGTGGGCAGTCAAGGGATGTGTGACAAATGTTTTTAATACTTTCAGGGATACAAATTCTCCCTTTGATTTTTTGCGGATTAACGTATGCTGCCTCTCCTTTGAGACGGCATTAGGAAGGGTTTCTTGGCAGGGCTCGGTGGTGTACATGAAATTCATCCAAATTACTAAACATCTTGTTTTGTTTTTCCCTCTTGTTTTTCAGAATACGCAGAAAATATTGGCGATGGCAAGAGCGAGGAGTTTAAGGAAAGTGAGCAGAAGAGGATTTTGGAACTGCTTGAGAATTTCTAAAAATCCAGTTGGAGCTCGGCGTGGGTTTTCCTCAGCAATTTTTCTGTGTTACAGTTGATGACTCGGTGATGCTACCTGGATTTTTGAACAATCCTCCTCCTGTCCTGACTGGACCAGACAAATCTGATGTTGAAACATTTGCGTGGCTGATTGGATCCCAACAGATTGGATCTGGATATTGTATCTGTTGATTTCCAACATATTTTGTTCGTTTATTATTGTTACTGTTTTTTAGGCCAAATATTTTGTCAAAACAACTTAAATTTTCTTTTAATTAAAGTTTGTGCTTTTCTTTACTTCGTGCTGTTTCCTTCATTAGATTTCGTAGATCACTTTCCACAAGTCTTAATGTCTCGTTAGACCAATTTATACAGGAAACAACTCTTGTGCTGAATCATAATTTAGGAAAATGTTGCGTTTATGTCTCTTTTCTCCTCTCCAGCGTTCCTGCAGACAGCTGATTGTGGCTTTTCTATCTTTTCAGCCTTGTGTTTGTCATCTCATCATTCAGGTCCCTTTATATGGATCCTGGGTCCAAAATTAACTTTCTAAACCTGCTAATGGCTGGTGGATTTTACTTTGTTGCATTTTTTTCATATATTTTTTCTAGCTGCTTCTCCCTGGAATATGTGTCAAATATTGGACGCTATTGTTGTGTCACTGGAAGCGCTATACGTTTGCCATTCTCTCAGTGAAAACCGCAAACTCTGATTTTGTTTCTCTTATTTTAGTTTCAGTGGGAAATGTCAACACATGGAGTTCTGGCAGTAAAATATGTGGCTTCTTAATAAGCTAAGCCAAACATCTGAAGGTAAATTCAGGGTTCCCTCATTTGACCAATAAAATTACATTATTTTTTCTTGCTCTGGTTTGTGGTTACTAGACAAAGCTTTTAAAGGGATAGTTCACCCATAACTCACCCTCAAGTTGTTCCAATCTTGTATGAGTTTGTTTGTTGTGCTGAAGAAGTTATTTTAAAGAGTGTTGGTAATCAAACAGATGTTGGTCCCCATTGACTTCCATAGTATAGGAATGTACACCCACGTTCTTCAAATATCTTTTCAAGTTCAGCAGAAGAAAGAAAACAACTTGGAATGACTTGAGGGTGAGTAAATGATGAAAAATGAATTTTTGGGTGAACTATCCCTTCAAGTTTCAATTATGACCAATTTGCTAATGAATGAATTCAAAATGATTTGCGACATTTGTTGTCTACAAAAGCAATATTTTAAAACAAAGTATTAGTTGGCTCAGATTTCCATGATGATTTTTTCTGGTTTGGAAAAAACGGTTTTAGATTGACTAATATTTCCAGATTTTCATTGAGGAACCCTGTTGGAAAATATGTAACTATATATTTATATACTGTATGTATATACAGACATTTTGTTTGCAATTGTTGAGTGCTGGTTTTGTACTCTAGCTTTGATCTTTCTCTTTCTTTTAGAGAATACGGCTACTGTGATTCTAATGGCCATTAATTAGATGTTTGTCCAGTGGCGATGAGCCAGAGAATCCCAATCCCTTGCTAATAGCAGGCCTGCTGAGCTAGCGCGAAAATGCTACAACTCTCTCTCATTCTCTAACCTCTCTGACATCCCCTTGTTAATTTACAATCGCTGCTTCCCCTTTTCCCGTGGGCTTAGCCTATGTATCGCCGCAGCCAGGGAACGTTCTGCTGTATAGAGACAGTTTGCTTACTAAGCTCTCCTTTGGTACGGACAGAGTCTTTAGCTGAAGGTTGAGAATGATTGTTAAAGCTCTAGAGCCAAATTGAATCAATCCAGCGGAGTTCTTCGGCAGGGCGAACGGGGGGCCATTAGGCTGGATTTATGCTCACTGGAGGGCCAGCACTTTAAAACAGACATTATGTAGGGAAATTATTATTGTAGTAACAAAAACATCTCTGTGTGGCTCTGGGCCTTGATAAATCGTCTTCATTTGATGAGTAGAGAAATGCGGAGCCGCACTTTTTCAGCTAATTAAGTACCGCAGTCTCATTACAGCTTGCACTTTATCAGACATCGACAGCTCGAGGCCCGTGGTCATCGTCCACCGTAGACCAGCTTCGAAATGCTCGTATGCACCTAGAGAGGCCTAGAGCCCCGTTGTCGTAGAGCGATAACTTCCTGTCCTTTAGCCTCGGGACAAGTGCACAAGAGTCATTATCTCGCCGACTCTTTCTCCGCACGTTCCCTTTTGTTTATCCATCGGCCTTGTCCTCAGAGGAGCTCCACTTTCCCGCTCCCGGCTGATGCTCCTGGCATATTAAATATTCTCTGGCTGTCCTTTCCGTGCTTCTGTTGGCGTAGCACGGCTTTATTTGTTAGATCTCTGTATTTCCCTGCGTCTCTGGAGGTCAGTGATTGCCGCTAGTTCTTGTCGTTACCAGGGAGATGGTTTGCAGAGAGAGGGATGCGTAAATACTGTAGAGGAATGCCGACAATTGGAGGAGGTGATGTGCGACAGTTACCCATCTGTTGAATTGCACATTATGATGAATTGCGTGTGCCTAGAACATTATTGATGCCCCTCTGCCAACGCGTCAGACTTGAAATGCAAATGAGCAGTAACTACAGAACGGGGCGAGCGCCTGGCGTGCTTCAAGGACACGCTCATTACCGTAGCGATGCTTGTCGGTAGCGAATGCCAATCACTCTCGTCTCCGGTTTGCCGTGTCGTGGCGGAGGCCACAGCGGCTCACGCAGAGCAACATCTGCTTCCACCCTCCCTCCGAAATCACCCGTATAAAACTCAGGATAGTTATTTGCATTTTCAATTGACGGGAAGGGCAGGTATCCCAGCACGCATCTCTTATCAGTGATTATGACAGTGGCGCGCTAACGGTGATTCAACAGCAATTTCACAGCCCAGAGAGCTCGGAATAATTGTCTTTTTCCGAGTGATTGAGTTGAGCTCTGTGAGTGCTGATTTCCACCTCCTCGCATCGGCTAAATTGATACGAACCTGTGGCGGGAACATTCTTTTATACCCACTTTATAATCCCAGTATTGTGCAGGTCACCAATTGTTACAAAAAGCTCTGTGGAGGTATCAGTGTGTTTTAATTATAATTGATGGTACTGTATACAGATTAACGTATTCATAGGCTATACAATTGTTTTTAAATTGTACTTTTAAGGCACTTCAAAGAGTGCAATGTTTGGTTTTGTTTTGTTATACTACCATCATAAAAATATCCAGGGTATATTAAATATACTTATTATATATTATTAAGATAATGTCATGCATTGTGAAAGGCATGAAAACCAGTGCCCTTTTTAGCCACATTCTACTGTCAAGCGACTTTAAATGCCATGAGTACATTTTTTTTTCTTCACAAAAAGAAAATGAAAAAAAAAAAAAAACATTATCATTGTGCATTTTTACTTGAGTAAAAGTGTAGTAGCTACAACTAAATATACTGTAAGTATTACATCTGTATTAAGTACTTATGAGTTTAAACAGCCTTTACATTATTGGAATTTTTTTTTTCAATTAATCATTTAATCAATGTGATAACTCTACTTGTTGAATTTAATGTGCAGCATAATTAGTGGAATGATTGTAAAATAGATGCAGATTCACAATTGCAGAATTTAAATGAACCCTTGAATGGTCTTTCAAAGCGTAGTTCAAACTACAATAATTTACTCATCCTTAGGCCAATTCAAATCTCTACGTAGGCTATTTCTTTCATCTGCGAAAAAACATTGACATTTTTCCAAATGTCTTTTTGTTTTTCTTAGAATAAATACAGTCATGCAGGATTACGTTAGTAAATGACAAAAAATGTTTTTTTTGTTTTTGTTGAATTATCTCTTTAAATGGAATAATCATTTATTTTAGCCTCTTAGGCACAGATTTTGTCCCAATATCTACTCATAAATCAGCCTACCACTACATATAATGAGGTAATGTGAAAACACTTTAGTAAACTAATGTATAAGACATTTATTATTCCATATTATTGGATATTGTTTCACACAATATCTTTATAAAATAGGCAGTATTCAGTAATGTATAGTAAGAACCAGTTGTGCGCAATCAAACATACGGAAAAAACGAAGTTAATCTTCTGCTGTCAACAATATCAATCATACTTGTTGATTACTTAAATATAATTCAAAGTCATAAGTTAAATTTACCTCAGAAACATTTTAAAATGTAATTTTACCTCAACCCACGATGACCGTTGAGATTTGACCGTTAAGCGCGAAGGTTCGCTATAAAAAAATCTCTTCATAATATTACTCCGCCTAATTGAAATTCCCTAATGACAGCCGCCGCGCTTCCTCCTCGCGCTGTTCCCTCCGCTGCATCGGTTAGATCCGGGGAGTTTCTCTTCGCGGAGACTCGAATCGCATCAGTGGGCGACTGCAAACACACGCAGCCTCCTCTCAGTCGCTCCTGCCGCTGTCATCAGGGACAAAAACCACCAGCAAACACTCAGCACACCTGGATCTATCTCTTAAAGCCGTGTATTTCCACCTGATGTGAGAGAGTGTTTTGCACGGAGCAGTGATGGGCGCGTTTGGAGTGATTCTGAGGAGTTTACATTGTATGGGACTCTACATCCAACTGAGTGCCAGTCTGAGACAAGCTGGCAGCGACGACGTGGAGAACCACATATCCAACAACGGTAAGATGTGTGGGCTCGATCCGGTTCTGTACTCGCACGTTCACGGGTTTGAGGTTCGTAAACGGCTGTCATTTGAAGCCGAACGGCACAATGATAGAGATGCGCAGAGCGGTTCATCACCAATACAACTGCACTGGGATTATTGACAGGTGATATCATGGTACTTTAACAAAAGAATACCACTACCACTAAAAGTACCACTACAAAGAATACCATGGTATTGCCATCATTGGTATCAGGTGGTAGCCTATACCTGGGTATTGTTTGTTTGACATATTCATATACTAAGGTCTTTTAACGTACTTCAGACAATACCTTGCTATATTGTAGTACCCAAAGCACAGCATTACCATGGTTTAAAACGTGATGTTACCATTCTGTGGCTTTTTCACCTCATAAAAAGTCATCTGGCTGACTTATGAATCACTGATGGTGTTAAATGCAGATTTATCCCATGGTACTGAATGGTTTTGTCAAAGAATACCATGGTATAATCTTCATTGTAGTGTCCGGAAATATCATTCTGTGGCTTTTGAACCTTATGAAAAAGTACTATGGGTCAGCGATGTTCTTTTTAAGGCATTTTAATGATTAACTTGGAAATACTGTATTGATATTGTCCAAAAACAGAGAAATGAAAATGATTAAAGAGTTCATTTTTAATTTGACAAAGTGTACTTTGATATGAAATATACTGGTTTTCCAAGGTCCTTCAAAAAAAAAAAAAAAAAAAAAAAAAAAAAAAAAAAAAAAAAAAAAAAAAAAAAAAAAAAAAAAAAAAAAAAAAAAAAAAAAAAAAAAAAAAAAAAAAAAAAAAAAAAAAAAAAAAAAAAAAAAAAACATGGTTGAAATTTGGTCTGTTTCATGACTTTTGTTACCTAGATAGTATCAGATCCTGAAACCATACCAACTGATTAAAAATACCTTAATATTGGTATTTCAGTCTTAGCTTTTATGGGTTATACCATATGGCAGCACAGTGCTTTGCATTACTTTTACAGTTATATACTTAACCTCCCTCCTTTTTAGCCAAAGATGCTTGAGATTCTGGGTTTATAATTCCCTAAATTGCCTATTTGTTGTTTTCATCGCAGAAAGAGCAAGGAAAAATCATTACACGCATTTCAAGATTCTAGTCATACTGTAATTAGCCATAATTGTGGTGCCTGGATATTGAACATATTCTTCAAACTGAATGCAGATGCTCCGGGAATGGAAAGGATTGTGTAAAATATGCTTATTCTGTATCCATTTAAGAAGTTTTGGCAATTGTGCGAACAAAAGATGACTAATGCAATGAATAAATCAGTGCTGATGAACCCAGGCATGCATCATGCTGATGGAAGAGTTCACACGCCGGATTGTGGGTCGCTCACCATGAAATTAAAGGGCTGCATTTGATCAGAGCCGATATTCATGAGGAATATTAAGAGGGCCAATACAGTAGGATCAGGGAAGTCATCTGAATGTTCTGGATTATTTGACATGCAGGCCTGGACGCTTGTATGATCTTGTGATGGATTTCTAGTGGATTATTGGCAAGATCAGACTGCAATGGATTTAAACTAAGACTGTGTTTCCTTTAAAGTGCCCCTATTATGCCATTTTTAAGGTTGCTAATATTGTTTTATGAGTCTCCTAAAACAGGTTTACATGCATGCAAGGTCAAAAAACATGTTCGTTTTCTCAAAAAATTGATTTAATTTTACCTAATTTCTAAATGATTCGTAAACGACTTGTGTGAAGCAGTTCAAAGAATCAGTCTCTCTAAACCCCTCCTTTCCGTGAGCCCTCACTGCTGTGATTGGTCAGATGGGTCAAGTGTTAACAAGTTTGTGTTGATTATAAGATGTGATAAAACAAATTTACTCTCACAGCGTAGGATACAGCGTCTTCTCGACATGATGTTAACCACGCGGAAATTTTACTGTTTGTGGGTGGCCAAGTTGGCGATGTAGAAAGTGGGCAGACATTATGCAAATGTTTTACTTCGTGACGTAGAGCCGTAACAGAATAAGATTAGAATTCCTGACGACTCGTTTAGGCGATTGCGAGCCGACTCTTTTTTTTGATAGACAATAACTTTATTTATCGTGCACTGTCGGCTTCACAACTTTGCAGATAGTTTATGTTCACATACAGCTACATGACACACTGCATGAAAGGTAATATTCGAAAAGGCATAATAGGGGCACTTTAAATAGCTTTGACAGGTTATGGAAAGATTAGGAGGATCTTTATTTGTTGATTTGCCCAAGTTTTATTGATCAAATATGAATTTAGGCCCACTGAGTCCAATGGTCTTGGACAAAGGCTTGAAAATAATATTATAATGCAAAAAACAGTATATAATTGCTTTGTCTTTCCTTATGACTGGCCATATTTTGGTGAGATTCACCCAATTAGGCCAAGCAGAGCGTTTCTTAATTGTGTTATTGTTCATTTTTTTAGTGAAATGTTTAAAACCGAACTGCTGGACAGCTTGTATTCATCAAGACCTTTGCGTTCATTTTTCCGCCGCTGGGACTACCGTGGCCTGCGGTAACGAGGCTTAATTAATGTCAGCAACAACTTAAAAGCTCTGTTTTCCTCTGACCTCACAGTAATGAAACAAAGAGCACAGACCCGCTGGACCGTTCACCGCAGCACACTTCAGATGAATAGCAATGGCGTAAAGAGGAATCTCATTTTCTACGGCAGTAGAGTTTTAATTCACACACTAGCTGTTCTAAACATTCTGTTGTCTTCGACTGTGTTTGTCTGCTAGAATCGTCGCTGTGCTGTCTTGAATACGTAGAAAATCCTATTCTATTAACAAAGTCCTCATTGACCGGCCTGATTTGGATTGTAAATTTTCATGTTGACTGAAAGATAAATCAGTTCTTCTTCAACAGAAAAGGCATTTATTTATTTATTTATTTTATTTTTTATTTTTTTAATACTTATTTATTTGTTTGTTTGTTTGTTTATATTTATTTATTTACTTGAAATGTAAAATATATATATTTTAATTTTTATTTAATATTATGTATTTTTATTTTTGTGGTTCTTCAGACTTTTAGACACTGATTGGTGACTCTTAAGATTCTCAAAAACAATTTCTTTTCTTTCTGTCATTCTTTCTTTACATTTTAAAAATATTTTTCATTTTATTTTATTTATTTAATTTTTTATTTTTTTAATACTTATTTATTTGTTTGTTTGTTTGTTTATATTTATTTATTTACTTGAAATGTAAAATATATATATTTTAATTTTTATTTAATATTATGTATTTTTATTTTTGTGGTTCTTCAGACTTTTAGACACTGATTGGTGACTCTTAAGATTCTCAAAAACAATTTCTTTTCTTTCTGTCATTCTTTCTTTACATTTTAAAAATATTTTTCATTTTATTTTATTTACTTTTCAACAGAAACCTTTTTATTTTATTTATTTATTTATTTTGTTTTTTCAGACTTTAAGCTTTGATCATTCAAAAAGGTTGATTGCTGAATCTTAAAAACCTCAAAAACAAATCAGTTCTTCAGAATGTTTATTTATTTGGTGTTTTTTCAGACTACAGGTAGATGCTGTAGGTTTAGGCTTGTGCTAAGGTGTGGAATCTCTCTGGACTGTAGCTTCTTCAGCACTCGGTCTGATCAGGGAATCGTATTTTGTCTTTGTGTGTTCAGTGGTCTCACAGTGACCTGTCGTGTTCATCTCTCCTCTAATTCTCCATGGAGAGTTGTGTTTTTCCTCTCAGTATGTGTTCGGGGGAAACAGTTGATCATGAGATGCTTCTGAAGATCAAGGAACAGTGAGGATTGAGAATGTAATTTAATTAAAAGCTGTGGGACCATTAGAGATGCTTTTTTCATAGATGCTTAGATTTTTTGCAATACTGTCGCTTAATTAAAAGCTGCTAATCTGTTTGTAGAAACATTTAGGCTAACTGAAATATGAAGGTGAGCATCAAATGTCTGAGCCATATTTCACGCCAAAGGCAGAAGAATTATTTGAAAATAATATATTTATTAGGGGTGCTCCGATCAGGATTTTTGAGGCCGTTCACCGATCGCCAATCACAGAAAAGCAGTATCTGCCGATACCGATCACCGATACCGATCTTTTTAAAGCCTTCTTTTTATAATTTATAACTGTTTATAGTGATACTCCAATCAGGATTTTTAGACATTTATTCAGGGCCTGAATTTCATTTTAGAAAATGGGGGGAATTCCCCTCTTAGGTGACTCGTGTGAGAGGAGAAGCAGCTTTCACACAGGAGTCCGCTACTGATCCGTGTTTACCACAAACACATTTATCTATTATTTTGATTTCAAATCCAAACATTGTCACTGAAAATGCTTTTTCAGCATTGCAGTTCTTTTTTTTACACAGTGCAGTAATACAATATTTTACAGACATGTTTAAACACAATAAATATAAGCAACACATTCAATGCTTTTTACTTTTGCATTTACTTCTAGATTTATATATAAGTTGCTCAAGTAAGTGGCAAAACATTTAAACTAGTTTTCTTGCGTTATAACAAACTTACCATTGACAGAAATAGTCAGCTCTACTGCCTTTCCTTTTGCATTGAAATCTTTTATTACAAGCAATCCTGCTGTTCATAAAGAACTTTGTTTTCCTTCCTCCACGAGTGCCATCTATTATTGCCTTGTAGACTCTGTGCAGAAACGATCTCTGCACTGCTGCAGACGCACCTCTCCTGAACGCACTGCTGGACCGCAACCGTGTGCAGTGTGCACGCTTTATTAATCTGTTAACATGAGCGCGGAAAAAATACGCACCACATTCGCATTGCAAACGGTGTAATATGAACCTGGCATTATGTGTGTGCGCTGCGTGTCCATGAGCGCACGGTCTCCAGGAGAGCGCGCGAGCGCTGAATGGTTAAACACTGGCAAGAATTAAAAAGAAATGCAATTTATAAACTTTAGTGACGATGTGACACTGCCTCGATTGTGTAAGTGACAATTCCTGTGTCAACTGT